AAGGCTGACAGAGCTGTGGCCAAACTTCTGCAGCAAGTTCTAGGCACCTCGCAGATGGCTTACAATTTGGAGAAGCTCACACAGCGGGTGAGGGCCTGGGTGGGTCCCTGGAGTAGAGTAGGGCATGATAAGCCTTCCCCGACCTGTCTCCACTATCTTGCTCTGCTCTTGGGTGCTCGCTCTTCCACCCATACCTTACCTCGCTCTTCCTCTGCCATACCCACACCTATGGCAACCATGGCCATTGGCACTTTTAACATCAACAGGTGCCGAGATCCAGTTAAATGGGAGGCCATCCTGGAGCTCCTGCACCAGAAGCACCTGGCCATCGCCTTCTTCCAGGAGACACATTCCAATGGGCTCAACCAGGTGGCCTGGCACGCTGCTTGGTGAGGGCACTTGTTCTTGAGCCATGACACCAAACTCAGTGCCGGAATCGTGACCCTCCTATTACCACAGCTGCAGCTTGACACAGTGGTAGCATGGGTGGTCATCTCCAGCCTCCTGCTGACTCTCCATGTCACCCTTGCACAACACCATCTGCTACTTGTCAATGTCTACGCAGCCACTGAGGGCTAAGAGAGGGTCATTTTTTCTGAGACCTTGGCTGCCCTCCTACATGATGCTAGTGAGGACGATGACCTGCTCCTCATAGGCGGGGACTTTAATTGCACCATTGGCACCTCGCTTGACTGCACAGGGCCTGAGCCTCACCTGCACTCAGCCCACAAGCTGCAGTGTGCCCTGGAGACTATGGACCTTGTCGATGTGTGGCAAGCCCTGCATCCTGACATGCGCCAGTACACCTGAGCCAAGAGGATTGCCGGTGGTCTCAACGTGGCTTGCCTTTATGTCACTAAGCACCATCTGCCACTCCTGTGCAGCGGCCACATTGTTCCCTTGGGCCTGTCACATCATGGCCTGGCCTGCTGTGAACTGAGCCTGCCCAGAAGAGCCTGTGTGCAGGCGCCTTATTGGTGCTTCAACATCAGCCTGGTTCAAGACTCCTATTTCTGGGACTGCTTCGCCTACTTTTGGCAGGGCTGGGAGGCTGCAAGACTGAGCTATTCCTCCTGGAAGCTATAGTGGGACATGGGCAAGGTACAGATCCAGGCTTTTTGCTAGCAGTACACCTAGCTGGCCACGAATGAACTGTGCTACCATATCCAAGAGTTAGAGAAAGATGTGGCAGAGCTTGAGGCCACTCTGCTGGCCACCGGCAGTGACATAGTGCTGCATGAGCCTCCGGTTCTGCAGGAAATGCCTGCGTGACTTGGCAGACTGCGCGGCCTGCGGAGCAAGGATTCGTACCCACTGCCAAGAGCTGGCAGAAACCAACACCGCAATCTGCTTCTTCTTCAGCCTGGAGCAGTGGTGGACAGCAAGCCACTAAAGTCTTAGATCACCTCAAGACCCCTGAGGGCTGGGTAATCACAGACCCAGGCAAAGTGCATGAGCACATTATCGCCTTTTATCATGACCCGTTTGCAGCTGACCTGTCCTGCCCTGAGGCCACGTGGGAACTCCATGATGGCCTACCACGTCTCTGCGCCCTGGAGGCTGGAGAGGTTGAGCAGGAATTGTCTCTGGAGGACCTGGCAGCCGCCGTGGTTGGCCTCACCTCCGGCAAAGCCCCAGGCCTCAGTGGGTTACTTGCCAAGTTCTACAAGACCTTCTGACCTCTCCTGGGCTGCTGCCTCCTGTGAATTTTCCAGGAAAGCCTCACCAACAAGGTCCTGCTGATCAGCTGCTACTGAGCGATGCTCACGCTGCTGCCCAAAAAGGGAGATCTGGGCTGCATTAAGAACTGGTGACCAGTCTCCCTGCTCTGCGTGGACTACAAGATTCTGGCCAAAGAGCTAGCGACCCGCCTCCGCAGCCTCATAGCCTCTATCACTGGGCCCAAGTAGAGTTACTGCATGCTGGGCAGGGCCATCCAAGACAACCTGTTCCTGCCGCGTGACCTACTCACAGCCAGTGAACTCCCCACCCCATTCCCCACACGCAGGGGCATCTGTCATGGCTACCCCCTGTTAGGCATGCTCTACGCCCTGGCCATTGAGTTGCTGCTGCATGTGCTGTGGCGCCGCCTGAGCGGTATGGCCCTGCCAGTAGCCACAGGCCTGTCCATGCTGGCTGTCATCATATGTGGATGATGTGAGCATCTTCCTCAAGACCCAGGAAGATGTGTGAGCCCTGACAGACTGCCAGTGAACCCAAGAGCGCACCTCCTCAGCCTATATCAACTGGGTTAAGAGTGATACCCTGCTGCTTGGCGCATAGACCAGTGCGACTCCCCACCCAGATTTGCGGAGGGGTCTCACCTGGCACCGTAAGGGCCTCAAGGTCCTGGGCATGTTCTTGGGGCCAACGACTTTCATGGTACACAGCTGGGATGGCCTTGAGTGGGTGGAGGCCCCGTGCAACGGTGGTGCTGGCACCAGCCTCTCCTACCGTGGATGTGTCATTGCCAACAACCTGGTGGCGGCGGCGCTGTGCCACTGGTGCACCGTATTCGACTCACCACAGGACCTACTTGAGAGACTCCAGCGCCTCCTGGTAGATTTTTTCTGGGATGGGCACTACTGGCTCCTATGAGGCCATCCTTTACCTACCTGTTGCCAAGGGGGGCCAGAGCCTTGTCGACCTGGCGAACAAGGTGCCTGCCTTCTGCCTGAAAGCCCATCAGCGACTCCTCTACGGCAAGGAGTGCCTACCCTGACAACAACTGGTGTGCTGGTTCCTGCAAAGGGTGGGGGCCCTTGGCTTTGATCGGGAGCTCTTCCTGCTGGACCTCATGCTTCTGAACTGGGCGGTGCTTCTGGCCTTCTACCATGGCGTGGTATGAGCCTGACAGACCACCTTCCGCCTCCAGCCCTGGCCCCAGTGCCTGCAGTTCCTGCAGCTGCTGAGTGAGCCCCTGGTGCACAACCCAGCCCTGCAGCACCTCGTGCCAAGCCTGGCCTCTGCCAGCCTCACAGCCGCCCTCATCTGGGTGCGTGTCCTCTGCCTAGGCCATCTCCTTGAACCTCCTTGGTTGGCCTGGCTGTCATTCAAGGCCCTGACCACCCAGCTAGACACGCGCTTCATCCGCAGTGGGGCCGTCTCCTGAGTGACATCCAGGCTGCTGTCCTGCTGGAGGCAGCAGCCATCCTGGATGACCATCTCTGGGCGCAGCAGGTCCCCCTTGCCGTGGATGCCCTGAGTGAGGCCTTCCCCCTGCTGCCAGTCACCCCGGCTGTGGCTGGCGAGCCAGCTGGCAGGCCTGGCACCCTTCTGACGCTCACCGTGCCTCCCAACAGTGAGACGGGATGCCCCTTTGCTTCCCTGCTATATAGAAGCCTGCATGCCTGGGGGGCTCATATCCGCCATGCCCAGATGCTGGTGGGCTACACCGATACACTGTGGTGACAGCACCCAGGGCTACCAGATTCCCCACCAGCCCACTTGGCTTGGTCCACATTGTATAAGCCGCCAACCACCAAGATGACTGGCGACCTGAAGTGGTGGTTGCTGCATGGCATCCTAGCCACTGGCACATTTGTCTCCCACTTTGACCCAGCCACCTTGGCAGCCTGCCCCTTCTGTCCTGGGGGTGTTGAGAACCTCTTTCAAGCCTTCCTCAACTGTCCCCACCTACAATTGCTCTTTGTCACCCTTGAGCCACTGCTGCAGGCGCTGGGCAGGAGTCTACCAGAGAACACGTATGTGTGCTCCTACCCGTACCGGGCAGCTCAGCAGGGCACCGTATGCCTGGCCAATTTTCTGGTGGGTCAGGCCAAGATGCCCGTCTTTAAGAGCTGGCGCAACCAGCTTGCTGGGACTGGCTCAGACAATGCCCTGCAGCTTTTCAGCCTCCTGGTGTGGGCGCGCCTCTTGCTGGAGTTTGAGCATGCTGTGCTCTGGAGGGCAGTGCCCGTCTTTGGGGCACACTGGGCCCTTAGGGGGGGCGCTGTGCCACATGGAGGACAGCCATCTTCAACATAAGCTCTAATGTCATGACTAGTCTGGGCAACTGGACAGGTTTGGTGACAGACTGCGACTCCAAGCTTGCATCACGCCCTAGGCCCTCACCAGGCTGCTTTTTGCTTTTCTCTTTGTGTGGGAAGTTGAAGATTTTGTTACATGTACTACTGGATAGAGCAGGGTAGGAATCGTTTGTTTACAGAGGTCTGTAAAGGGCTTTGGCTGTTTATAGAGGGCTTTAGCTTTGGCTGGGTGTCCCGACCACATAATGGCATGTTAGGTACGATGTGTAATATTGCGAAGGTGTCTGTCATGGCGTGATGTTATGAATGTAATGGCATAATGGCATGGTGCTTTTGGTTTGATGGTGATTTGTTTGTCTTTGCTTTGTATATTGAACCTGGACCCCAGAGGGGCCAACTTTTTGTACCCTGAACCCCTGAATAAAGTAGCTAAAAAGTCCAAGTCCTTTCTTCCTTCCTGTTATTCTCTTTTAATTAATATGGCAAAAGAATACTTTGATATTTCTTTTAAATGTCCTTTCAAAAGTCTAATACTAATGAGCAGAAAGACTCCAAAACATTTCTGGAAACAACTTTCTTGCAAACAACCCCAAATCATAGTACTGTAGTCAGAGGGATTTTTCTCATGTCTTCCTGTTCAGACTTTTGGAATGTATGCACAATCTTACTTCACTAAAAATGTACTATACACTGAAACTTTAATGATATACTCTGCCACAGTTAAATGGGAATGACTGGAAATTTGAAATAAAGGTTAGTTTAGGTACCCTCATGAACACTACAAGAAAACCTCCAACTAGAGCTCTTCAAATCAATTTACAGGAGGTGCTAAACAGAATTCTTAGGATAATCAGGTCTGAAAAACCAGCTTGTTTCCTTATCAAACATTACCATGATTCAACATTAAACAAGGCAGAATTTAACAAGGAAAATATTCCCACTTAGTCATCTTGTATACAATATGACAGATATAATGCATTAGGCTTAAACACAAACTATTGCATTTATTACCTGTTTTTCTGCAAAATGGTACTGGCAAAGTTTTTTCCATAACTGTCTGTCTTCACTGAGCATGTACAGTGTTGGAGTCACTTGACCTAAAGTAATAATGTCCCAGCCATCTGAGAACCTGTATAGGATGTTATTCAGCATATGCAGAGGGAGGTCACTAAGCGTAAGACCATTGTTGACTTGCTGGAAATAAAAGTTATTAGTATCAGACACTAATAGGGTTTTCAATTTTAGGTATAAAAACTGATAAAAATGTCTCAAAATAATATTTTGTAGCTCTGATTTTGAGAACTGATTTTTGTTTGGTGCTCATTTATCATTCTGCCATTTTATTTGGTTTTCAACATTTATTGGTTAAGTCTTCAAGTCTCTTGTTAAATAAATAAATAAATAAACTCTAGAAACAAAGTTGCTGAACATGGTGGTCTTGCAACTGTTAGGTTTTCTAGTGTCAAATGAATGTATTTTTTTTTAAACTGAAAAATTGTACTATTGAACAAAAGCACTGGCAATTAAAAGCAAGATAAATTTCAGCGTTTAAATAAATAGCAAAACATACAGTCTGAAAATTGTCTTAAAGGTGTGAAAGCCAATTTTCAAACAAACAGGTAAATAAAAAGAATCTCAAAAACCAAAAACTTAACTTTACCTCTTTATAAAAAAAGTCAATTGGAACTTTACTAAGATTGGTAGGATTATCAAAACAGTATGAGAAACTGTTATTAAAAAAACCCCAAGGAAGCTGATGATAATTATGCAACTAAATACAATAAAAAGAAGACATGAAAGTCAGAGAGAAACCCTGAACAATAAGGCTACAAAGGTGTCAGAGGAAAGAAAGGAGACTGGGTTGAGAGGCACTTTACAGACTAACTAAATCAGAGATGTATAAACTTTTGTAAGCCCAGGATCACTTCACCAGATGCTGTGAAAGAACATGCACAGAGGAGCACAGGAAAGAAAGCAGAGTCAAATCCCTCCTTCCACTGTGACATGCGAAATAGCAATCCCACTACTTAGTTAGCAGATTTATAGCAGTTAGCAGATTAGAGAGCAGGCTATCCCAGAAATATGCATCACTGATCCTCTTCCATGGGGTTCTCAGTAGAGCATAGAGAGTTGGACACTGAAGGGGTATGTTCTTTTGCTTGCAGTGTGCAAATGGAAGCAAGAATTGTGTTTCCATTTCCTTCACTTAAGCCTACTCCAAGGCTCTTATTGTGCCTTTTTTTAAACAGGTAGCTAAGCAGCATAGATCTACATTTAATACTAGCACCATCATCAGAATTAATCTGAGCAGGTGGGGTGAAAATGTCCCTACCTAGTGGGACTGCTCAGATATGAAGGGTTGTATCTGTACAAGGCTTACTTTTTTTTCCTCCCTAAAGATATTGCAGCAGCTACACTCTCTGGGAACTCCATGAGTTTCTGAGCTGTAGTTTTATGCTATAATTTAGTGCACTATGCTCACTGACCTCACTTATAGACCAGATTTTCTATAGTGATATACTGTGTATACTTTTTGGAGCAAACATATATGAACATCTGTGAACATGACAATAACCATAATCTTGAATTTGTAGTATAAATAGGGATCCACTTAAAAATCGCAGTTTCATGGATTTTGTGGAAACCATGAAATCCAGGACAGTCTGCAAAAATCAACAAAAAACAGCTTAATAAAAATAAAATGCTGGCTCCCCAATGGGAGCCAGCGGACCTTGCTGCCACTGAGGCCCAGTCTCACAGTCCACCCAGGAGGGAAAGGTGCTGGCTGGTGGGGCAGCATAGATGGCCATGGACCTGCCATCTCTTCCTTCCCCCCCAGCCTCTTTGCCAATTAGTGCTAAGGTGCAGTGCCACACAAAGGCAGCCAGCAGTTGAGATGGCGGCTGCCCCTCATTCCTTCCTTCCCAGGGCCAATCAGCGCTGAGGGGCAGGGCTGCCGGAGCACACCTGCAAAATGTCTGAGGAATTTACTCTTTATGCCACTATGAACCTAGGAAATCCGTAAGTCTAACCGCAATTTAAGTAGACCCCTAGTCATAAGTGAAGCACAAGCAATTCAGTTACAAGTTACTGACTGAAAATAAACAATAAGCAAAACAAATATTATCTCTATCCAGGCAAGTTTGGGATGATACAATTGGAGATAAAGTTCTGCTTTAAGCAGGGGGTTGGACTAGATGACCTCCTGAGGTTCCTTCCAACCCTCATTTTCTATGATTCTGAAGTTGCTGTTTTGGTTTGTTGACCATATGAATATTATCTTTAATGTTAAATTCAGCATTTACTCTTTCTGATCTTAGTTTTCATTCCAATATGAATTGCAACAATGCAATAAAGCAGAATATAACCAATAAAAATACACAAAAATACACCAGAAGGGGAAAGTGGGGGGATTTCATAATTTGAGTGAACTAAATGGCGACAAAAAGGAAAAAGGGGAAAAAAATTATACAAGCAGCTAGATCAGTTTATTGCTGCCAATGTCTCGTGACTTCTCTTCTCAAATGATTGTAACAGAGACACATTAGAAACTGTAATGTTTATCCCTTTTTCAGACATTTCCATTGTAAATACTTGCAACAACACAATTTACACACTAAAGAAAGATGTGTGATCAAAGTCCAAGCTTTCAAAAATGCCAGAAGTCAATGAGTTATGCCTCTTCACAGAAAGAATGAATGTTTTCTTGCAAAATTCAACAACTGCCACTTGATTTTCTTGACCCATCTAATCTTGGATTTTAGATTTGTACTTAAAAGTTGTTCTGTTTTCTGATCAGGCACAGTTAAACTTGATAAAGTTATGTTAAGAAAGAGTGCTATTTTTAAATTTGTGGTTGGAACATCAGAAAATTAAACCTGTCAACATCTGGCAGGAGTCACTTAATACATACTACCACAGCTTTAAGTCATAAAGTTCCTTGTGTCTTCCTTATAAAGAAGGGATATAAAAACCTGTAGAATTTAAAAAAGTTGACCTTTATATTATACGTTGTCATTGTTATATATCCAGGATAATTAATAAAATTTGATAAAATGGTTTTAGATTCATTTAAAATTTGACCAAAGTAAATTAAAAGCCAGTGTTCAAAGTAGTTCCTTCTCTATTACCCCATACATCATAATTAAAAATTTAATATACCTTGTTCATCTGAAGATTTTGCAGCTGTTGTTGCCACGTAAGGATAGTTTCTAATCGACAAATCCAAATATTAATGTTCCCAACCAATACCGATTTTCCTACTCCCCTAATCAGTATACAGAGCGCAGAACTCAAATCCTGAAGAAGATCTTTGATTAAGCGTGGATTGTACTGGTCTTCCAAAACTAGGGGAGGAAAATACAAGAGGTAGTTTTTTACTTTAATTACATTTAACCCAAATTAATCTACATTTCCCCAGCTGAACCACTCCACGCAGAAAGTGACTTTATTTATTAACTAATGCCTTGATCTCACAATGGACTTCGAATGTTCAGCTCTCATGAGTGAAAGAGCAATGCCAATGACAGTTCGATTATATAGACATTAGTGTAACATTTCATGCCACGCAGTTAAAAGACATCAAGCTGAATGTCAGTTTTGCAAATGAATTTCCTATATTCAAGGCTGACAGTATTAAGTGCCTTCCATATACAGGGCACACCACTGAAAAAGCCAACATTTTCCAAACATCTGTATGCAACAGCCCTACTTTTCTTATTTTGCAAACAGTGTAAATTGACAAGCACAGACTATACTGTACTGGTATATCATGTAAGCAAATTCAAAGACCTACATTTAAGTGAACATACTACTAAATGAATTAATTATCTGTTGAGAAAAAAACAGTTTGATATAACAAACAGTATATCAAAAGAAACCACAAATCATAATATGTAACCTGTTATTTCACTTTGTCCTTGTTCTGAGGGATACAATTTGTTATTAAGAAAAAAATCAACAACCTTAAAACACTGGTAATAAAGCATTAAGGATGGAAACAGACATCATCTTTGTGCCTTGGCATAAAGTGAAAACTAACAGACATCCATACTTTCTGTCATGCCATAATTACTCAGATTTGTGGTCATGACAGAAGGTAATAAACTGAGCTGCTTTATTGCTACCCACGTCTGTTTGCTTATGGTGGAAGAGCTCAGGCAGCATGAAGCTACCTGGGTTGTCTAGCCTCCCTGGGGTAGTGGTTTTTTGGGCTTGAGGGGCCTGGTCCCGCACACCTTGGGAATTCCTGGGCCAGACTGGCCCCTAAAGCCTTGGGAGCACCTGTCTTGCTTTCTCCACTTACTCAAATGCACCTAGGTAAGCAGGGAAAAAACTCTGGGCTTTGGGGTTCCCTACTTGCAGAAACACACCCTGTGCAGCACATGGGGAAATCCTTTGGCAGGGGATTTCCCCTCACATCCTGAATGCATAAGGGGTGG